GAACCCATCCATGTTGATGAAAGTGATGAAGAAGTAGATCTGGGTCATGCATTCCACATAAGAGATAGACTTGCTTCCCAGTATGTGATTCAGCAGCATCTTGGGGGTTGTGACTGATGAAAAGCAGATGTCGATGCAGGAGAGGTTAGCCAAGAAGAAGTACATGGGGGTATGGAGATGACTGTCACAGCTGATGGCCAGGATGATGAGAATGTTCCCAATGATGGTGACCAGGTACATCCACAAGAACAGCCCAAAGAGAATCTCTTCCTGCTTTGACTGCCCAGAGAGTCCCAGGAGAAGGAATTCTGTGACCGTAGTCTGGTTGTCTCTATCCATGTCTGCAGGGGAGAAAATGTGGTCGAAATAAAAGGAAATATGGGGCACTTCGGTGGCTCAGTCGGTTAAGTGTCCAATTTCAACTTGGGTCATGATCTAATGGTTCATGGGTTCAAGCCCCGCATCAGGCTCCCTGCTGTCAGCACAGAGCCTGCTTCAGATCCTCTGTCCTCCTCTCTCTCTGCCCCTCCCCCTCTCATTCTCTCTCCCTCTCTCTCTCTCTAATATAAATAAACATTAAAAAATTTTTTTAAGTAAAAGGAAATGTTTAATTGAGTTCCATTTACCGTTTAGAGATTGTAATGTTTTAATGGTAACAGATCCAAAGTTTACTTCTTAATTAATCTCACTTTAAATATAAAAGTAGATAAACAATAATACATCATCATTTGAGTAAATTTTTTATGATACTGGTTTTGTCATTGATAACACACATTAGATAATTCTACAGAGTTAGCTTTCCTGAAGTAAATAGCTGGTTAATTTCCATAATTTTAATTTATGTTTATTATCTTTGATTACATACAGCTTACTTCATACTTCACTAACATTCAATGAATATCCGGTATGTGGAGCTATTTTCCCACACATAGTTTTTTAGTTTATGAATGATGAATTCAGTCATTCATAGATAGGAAGACTGAGAAGAGGAATCAGAGATAAAAACCCTGAGACTCAGAGAGATTCAGTAATAGCACATTAGAATGACAGAACTCATAACATTTACAGTCCTAAAACAGTTAAATTCCCTTTTCTTCAAACTCCTCCTTAGTTTTACCTCTACATTTTGATTAACTACCATTTATGGAGAATACAACCAAGTGAAAAAAACAACCAACATAGCCAGGCATCCAGACTCCTTCTTTACATGTAGTTCATCGCTTTATCCTTATTAACATCTGTAAGTTTTAGGAATAACCAGCTTCATCAAACAGAAGGAATAAATAAAGCCAGGAGATTTAACCATTTGTTCAAGGCCACAAGTTCTTTTACCTGAATGTGGGGGATAAGCTTAGGAATCCATAAAGAACTATAAAGTCATAAAATGCTCACACCCGAGTTTGGGTAAACCAGATTGGCACCCCAAGAATAGGGAATTGCAAAGACACCCCGAGAATAGGGAGGCACAAAGGTTCCAGGAATTGGGATATGCAAAGGCACCCCAAAATTGAGAGGGGGTGCAGAGCCCCCAGAATAGAGAGGGAGAGGCAAAGGCCTAAAATAAGAATGGTGCAAAGGTGCCCAATACATAGGTATATGAAATAAACAAGATTAGATATTCAGGGTGAAAGCACCCCAAATTTAGTACTATAGCGAAAAGCTGCTTTCACAGGAGGATAGGACCAGGTTAGGTAAATTGGTGAATTGGACTATGGACCACTGCGCTGCAGGCAAAACAGCCCAGAGCGGAGATGGTTAACAAAAGAAAGGGTGCCTTATTAACCCTGTAGTTATTCCCCCTGTCTCATCCCCTAGACTAGCAAAGATACACAGGCACGGTGCCTCTTGTCTGCTGTTAACAACCATCTCCCCATCTGTCCAGTGCCCGGATTTTGTTTTATATTGACCCAAACCCCAAACACTGTATACCTTCAAAACCCCCTTTTCCCTCACGTCCCCAAGTTAATGTCCATAGTTTCTTTGTCTTTTTGTACATGCCCATCACGTTTGTAAGCCTTCTGATCTGAATAAATATGGGGCAAGGACCCTTATTCAGGGCTCTTGTCTTTTTCCCGGAAATTAGCCATCTCTCACTTTAATCCTGCGTCTGCTCTTTTGCTGGCCAAAAGAGAACTTTAGACTTAGAGTCAACGACACCTGAATAAAATGCTACTGTATACAACTCCCTCAAATTCTTTCTGGATGTCTCCTACATTTTCCCAGGATTATTCTACTTTTAGGCTTTGAAGGATGTGCCTGGAAGTTTGTCCTCAATGTTGTGACCACATGGCATCAAAACATCCTTGCTATTGCTCACAACTGTTGGCTTAGATAAGCTAAGTGTGCTGGTGAGGTCGCTGTGCACAGGATTTTGCAAAGAGACCTCTTTTCCCTCTTGTGCTAGCCAAAATGCAATCAGCTGGATTGTGGCACTTGGTATTATTTTTGAAGAGAAAGGCAAGTTCCTAGGGTGAAATTATGGGGTATATCTGAGTGACATTCCTAGCATGAAGAAATTAGTATAGGCAGGAGGAGTCAGATAAAGCACTGTGGCTGTGATAGCCATGGAAGAATTCAGGGTTTGGATGGTAAAGAGGATGGGACATGGCCTTCCTGATTAAGAACTAAAACCTGGGGTGGTAAGCAGAAGGAGGAAAGGGAGGAGACTCACAGGTTAAGTGGCTTGACTGGCTGGGGCAACAGATGTTACAGGTATAATTTTAGGGGGATTGGTTATAGGATGTTTGTAGTATAGCAACAGTGAAGTGTCCTAGCACTTTCAGAGTTAAATTAGTAAAACCATTGTAAAATTCTGACATCTGAAGGCATTTTCTCATAAGTCATATCACAGGATAAAAGTGTAGAAAGGCAGTACCAGGTTGTAGCCAGAGTTACTGAAAGTAGGCGCTCCAGGGAAAGGATGCCTAATGGGGGACGTAGAAGTTGGAGGGCAGGGCTTGCGTCAAGGAAAACCCAAACCTGGGGCGCCTGGGTGGTGCAGTTGGTTAAACATCTGACTCTTGATCTTGGCTCAGGTCTTGATCTCACAGTTTGTGAGTTCCAGCCCTGCTTCAGGCTCTGTGCTGATCGCAGGGACTCTTGCTGGGGATTCTGTCTCTCCTCCTCTCTGCCCCTCCCCTGTTTATACTTTCTCTCTCAAAATAAATAAGTAAACGTAAAAAATTAAAAAAAAAAAGAATTGTTCGATCTCACTCAAATAGTTGTTTATAACAAAAAAAAAAAGTTGTATTTATGCAGCTTTTTTCCTTGTGTCTGAACAGCACATGTGAATATTCTGGTTTTAATTGCAGGCTGTTCTCCATAATGAAAATGGGAGTAAAAGCTGGAAGAGGTATAGCAGGATGGCAGTGAGGCTTTTCCTCTTGTCTGGGAACTGTGGAAAAGGTCCATAAGGGCCTTTTAGGTCAGTAGGCTCTAAATAACCCAAACTCTGTGCTGGGAAATCTGCCAGCATTAGGGTTAGCTCCTGCTGCCAGTGTTTGCTGGGATAATACTATCAGGAGCACAATTAATACTGCCCCCAAACCCCCAAGTCCTGTCGTGAGAGAGATGAGAGCAGAAAAAGCAATGATTCTGAAGAAAGTCTGTGCCCTCTCATTACACCCCACAGGGAGAGGGAGGTGGGCTTCCTGGTCCCCAACTCTGAGTGTGGAGACCTCCAAAAAAGTCCCACCAAAGACTGGAGATGCTTGTACCGTGGGGAGACCATCCATTGGTTTCCTGACTGGGCATATGGGCTTGCTGATCAGCCCTCCCTCTCCCAGAGCAGGGAAGAGAAAATGGGCAGAGATGGGAGAGCGGAGAGAAGGAAGAAGGCTGGCAGAGAAGCTAGCTGTGTGCCATTGCAAGGACGTGTGAGTTCCCTGAGCGCTGGTGGCCCCTGTGGAAGACATGGGACAGCTACTTCATAGGACAAAATCTGTGCCTTCCAGGAAAGGGGAGCTCTTCAGCAACATAAACGCCGTTTGGGTGGGACTGGGGAAGGGGCGGGAGGTTACAGGGATTGAGTGAGAGCTGAGACCCTCTCTGAGACCCTCTCTGACCCTCTCTGAGCCCGCTCTGAGACCCTTTGGTAATCCCTGGAAAATCCCCTATGAGCAGCCCACAGAGATAAAAGCCCATAAGTGAGGAGCACCTGGGTGGCTCAGTAGGTTAAGCATCCAACTTCAGCTCAGGTCATGATCTCATGGTTCCTGAGTTCCTGAGTTTGAGCCCTGAGTTGGGCTCACTGCTGTCAGGGCAGAGCCTTCCTCAGATCTTCTATCCCCCTGTCTCTCTGCCCCTCCCTTGTTCGTGCTCTCTCTCTCTCTCTCTCTCTCAAAAATAAACAAACAACAACAACAAAGCCCATAAGTAAGACAGACAAGCCAGAAGAGCAGCAAATAGGAACAGAGGAGAGACAGCTCCCTTACTTGGTCAAGGAGAGTACCCCTACTAGATTTCCCCCCTCTCTTTCTTTCTCCAAATCAGGAAGAGTACATCTACCAGTATCCCCCTCCCCTTCCGTACTCCAAGCCAAGGCACATCGTGAGAGAGTAGAACACAAGAGATCGAAGATTTAGACTGTTCTTGACCACTTAAAAGCACCATTTTTATAGTATGCAATGGCTTAAAATGAATGAATCTGGCCAGGATGTTTTTAGGAGACCCGCCAATAGAAGATCAGTTACTAGAAAAAATAATCTCTTGTTTCATGGTTTAAACCCCAGCAGGTGGAGATTCCACAGTGAGTAGGTGATATGGCAATTCCTCTTACTCTGAATGGATATTCACCACCCACCCCGTGAATATTCATTCAATCTCCCATGCAGCTTCCTGTTAACAAAAGAGTGCTAACTAATCTTTTTAAAAAGATTTTGTTTATTTATTTTTGAGAGAGAAAGAGAGAGTGTGTGTGCAAGCAGGGGAGGGGCAGAGAGAGAGGGAGACACAGAACCCAAAGCAGGCTCCTGGCTCTGAACTGTCAGCACAGAACCCAACTCGGGGCTCAAACTCAAGAACTGTGAGATCATGACCTGAGCCAAAGATGGATGCTTAACCAACTGAGCCACCCAGGCACCCCTATATAACTTACCTATGTGGATGCCTGGTTTCCTGCACTAATCTCTTCTGAGTCTCGGTAGCACGTGGCTGTCTCTGAGACATCTGGTCTTCAGCATTGAGGGTTTGTGTTCCTGGACCTCAAAACCGGAGCTGCTGAGCGCCCAGACCCCAGCCCAAGCCAGCTCCCCTCTGTGGGGCTCTTTGTGGCATCCAAGAAGCTTCTCCTTCTGGGATACCTCAATTACGTGGTCATAGACAATAGTGGATGGACAAAC